GCTCTATAACAACGTTATAACTCACGTCTCACGTGGCCAACAATATTTTATCCGCATACATTCAATTACTCATTCTCTGACTGCAGTTCAATTACTCATTACCTCTCCGTCGCTTCGTAGCCGGTCTTATATATACAAGACTACACTATATCTAGAAAGATCACGAGATTTAAGGAAAAGACGTGAAAGTTCGAGAATGACGTGGCGTGATACTAGTCACGTGACCTCGATGTCGTAACAATACGAACGTTGTCATTGACATATACGAGACTGCCCAGAAATTCCTGTAGGCCTGAAGTAGAATTCCATACTGGAGCTACTTATTTCAATATCGCCTATGGTCAAAAATTTGTCTTCTTCTTCTTTTGTTTATGAAAGATCAATCAAATCAAAAAAAAAATATATATATATATGAACTTATTACAATGTGCGTATATTGGGGAAATTATATAGTACTTACATTTAAAGTCATCACACTTAACACAGATTGTGGAGCTCGTTTTCTTGTGAGGCCCGGGGCAAATTGCCTCTTTTGTTCCCCCTCTCTAAGAGCGGCCCTCCATTTATATGTAATAAGTGGGTAAGTCTTTGCATATAAAGGCTAATAATGTAACATTTATGATAATTTTACAATCTTTTCATTGAATTATGATTTTGTTGCTTATAATTAATGCTGTTTACAATTGAAATGAATAATACTAAATTACTTCACACAAAAAAGGTAGCAAGTAAATAAACGTAAAAACATTTAATTGAGAACAGAATAAACCATAGCACCCGAGCAAAAAGTGTAATTAGACAACATTGAAGAATACAGATTAAGCTAGTATTTTTTATAGATATTTTTAGGCTTGTACTTTATAAGTTTAGATATTAATCTTTTAAAGTGAGATAATAATAAGATTACAAATAAAAATAAATGAAGTGTAAACAACACCAAGGAAGGTATAAAGGAAATTGAGATTGAGTACCCTGAAATACCGAAGAAATTAATTATAGAGCCCAAAGTTTTCGCAAAATTGAAATCCTTTTTCTGTTTGAATTCACAATATTTCTGTACAACTTTTGTTTACATAATTTTCATGTTTTTAGTAACATTGATTTATAAAAGGTTTTGTTTTGATGGTAAAAGGTTATCTATAACCTTCGTCCTTTATTTATTTCTCACTTATCTTTTCAGCTTCTGTCAATTTCAAGGAGAACAGAAGTATTAATACAACCTGTGGGGTAGCTAGCATCAAATGTATGTGGACGCATACATGCGAAAGCCTGGTGGGAGGTCTGGGAAGCAAGTCGTTATAACCAATGATATATTGAAATAAAATTTTAATGAACGAATGGAAATACATTACTTTTATATTTCTTTATATTTTATGTTTATACGTTAAATATATATTATATATCTTTAAAAAAATGTGAAAATGATGTGGATGCTTGAGTATACAAGCATACATGGTAGCTACGCCACTGACGACGAAGATATCACAATACTGTGAAGAATATTGAAATTGACAATGGCTTAGTCTTAGATATAACATCATACACATTTTGCACAAAAAAAATTGCAAAACTTTTCAACTTACTTATTTCATTTTTTGTCCAAGAACATCACTAGAGTTAAAGAAATTGGTAATATACAGTATTCTTCAAATAAATTAGAGTTAATATATGTAGAACACAAAGCAGTGTTCCATGTCTACTGCGTATCAAATATCGTTTAAAATTTGTTTGTTTGATTTTAGGATTTTCGCGAAAATTTACATAATAGTTATCAGTGTGTAGTCGTCCCTAATTTTGAATTAATAGACTGGAGGAAAGGAAGCTAGGGAACAGCTCCCACCGTCAACTCTTGGGATATTCTTGTCTTACCGAGTATTGGGATTTTACCTTCACTCTTATTTCACACCCATGGCCCCAAATTAAGTATCACATCTTTTTGTTTATTTTGCGGCAACGGAACGCGAACCATGAATTTTCTGAGTCACACTCCAGTTATGCTAACCTTGAGTCATACCAAGCCCATTGAAATTTGGTTTTATTCGAAGTAGTTACACATAGTCATATTATTTAATGTATAACGTTTTTTAAATTTGCATGTTCCTTGCAAATAAACAATTTATTTAATTGCCTTTTAAATGAGCCTCTTTCTTCTTATTTCATTGTAAAAAACAACAACACAAAAAAAAAACACCTGTATAGTTTATTGTAGCCTGTTGCTGCTAACACTAGATGTATTCAATAAGATCACTACAGCATCAGTGAGTTGTGATTTCCTAATTATAATCTTTGGTATACTCAGTCAGACAGCTGTTGTTAAAACTATGAGCACCTTCAGTATTAACTCTAACATTTCTATTAAAACAATTTATCAAAGCTTTAGAGTTAACTGCTATGTTTACAACTATTAATTTATAATTTTAAGAATTTGAGCTCATTTTAAATATATTTCATGTGAATCAGTCAATATGCATAAGTAACTCATATACCTTCAATTATGAGAAATAAAAATAATATTTTACCAAAAAAAATACTGTGAATGAGTACTAAATTATTCAATTTAAGATGCTAATATAATTTTCACATATTCGTGTAAAAGAAAGTGAATAGTTATTCAAAATTATGATGTTTGCATTACTAAAGTAAGTCAACAGAATTTGTCCAAGTACTGACAAATTTAATGTATTACACATTAAACCAGTTATTACTATGAATAAGAATTAACAAATATATATTTTGAAGCTGAAAAATAAAAAATTAAATACGGTAACTGATCGAGGCTTAATAATGAACGATCTCAACTAGGAGTGTAGCATATGATACCTAGAACACTTAATCATGGATATCCAA